GTTATTTCAAATGTTACATAAAACTGAGCTGAGGCTAAGATCATTTTATTTTATTTTTAAAATTAAAAATAATTCAGAATAAAATCTTATAAACAGTATATTTACCTGTTTAACAATCCTTTAAACATGATGATGATATGATGAAATAATCCTTTATAATATTATAATCTCCAAATAAAAAAGTGAGTAATACTTTGTCAGAAAAAAAATATTCATAATTATAATTTTTTAATTAAGATTATTATTTGATCATATTTTCTTTTTAATGTTATTGATAACATTTACACCCCTGTCTTCATAAATTGTTGTCTCTCTCTCTCCATCCCATGGTTGCCTGGAAGAAATCGCTTTAAGCAATAATGCCGCCAATTGTTATTTTATTTTATTTTACCTATATAACTTGTGTAATGTTAACAATAAAGAATTTTCTATTCTATTCTCTATAATGGTATTATTAATATAGTTTTGGTGAACTTCCTAAACATAAATGAGCATATGCTCACTAGTAATGCAGGTAATTCTTAAATTCACAAAACCTGCTGGTTATCTGGTAGTTAAATTGGTTTTAGCAGACGCCCAGACTGTGAGTGTTTATGGGTTTAAATCCCACCTCAAGCACTAATTGCTTGAAGTGGGTTTTTTAATTATTTTCCTTTAAGATAAATATCAATATAGTATTGCAAATGCAAGTGATCAGAAAAAATAATGATAAATTAATTAATTTTTAAACAAGGACTTTTTCAGTGCCATTTTTATTGGAATTCCACACATGCTTGTAAATACACACTTTTAAGTTTTCCTGTAAAAATACTACAATAGTTTACTTTTTTCAATACAAAATATTCAAAAATTCATGTTTTTATAATCATAGATAAGTTTACTTAAAGCCAATAGCCCCTACAATATAATAATGATTTTTACGATGTTCCTATTTACAATGATTGTTTATAATTATGTAAAGTTTTAACAGAAATATAATTATTGATTTTAATTTACATTATATGCCTCAACTAGGTGGACCTTATTTATGTTAAGAATCTACATAATATGAATTTAACATTTCAAATTGATAGAGAAATGAAAACCTATTAATTTATCTATAAAATTTAAGTTTTTAATAAAAAAATAATAATTTAAGATTAATAATCAAGATATAATTTATTTTATTTTTAAAGTCTGCCAACATTTTTACATATCAATAAGCAACCACAAAATTACAGAACTATCTATAACAAATAGATGAAATGGTGTACATAAAAAGTTTATTAAACATATGCATGCACTATCACACTTGTTTATCTAGCTCCATAGTTTTCGATTTCATTTTTTTTCTAGTAATTTTACATAATTTATATCATATGGATTGCTATGTTCTCATGAGGTAGATGAGGAATCTGGTGTTTGATACCCAGATTTTGTATATTTACTTCAGACGTCAGGGTGCTCATTGAAAGTATCCTTGTATCTTTGTGAAATAAATAATATTGGATAGAAAATTTTATATACTTGAAGTGCTAGACAGTTAAAGATTAAAATTTTTTGGTACCTTAATATAAGGTATTTTTATAAATAATTAATGATAAAGCAAACATATCAATGGATTTACACAATTTATTATGTTCTTTACAGTCTATTGATAACTCACTCACAAACTCTTAAAATGTAGGAATTAAGAGTCACAGTGGATTGGAGTATTTAATATATTTCACATTGTAAATACATAAAAGTCAGATGAGAGTAAAGAAGAGAGTGACATAAAAAACAAAAAACAATGTATAAAATACTAATTCAAAAAGGTATACGAAAAGATGCCAGTGTCTGATTAATATAGAAAAAGGTTTTATCTACACCTCCCTGTCATCAGGACACTTATGTACACCCTTTATATCAACACACTGTATGTACAAAAACACTATATCAAAGGTACCTTAACACTGATGCCCTAACCTAATTAACCTAATAACACAAAACAAATAACACTAAACTAATCCTAAATTAGTTAGGTACATATAGTGTCTCAGCTTAGGCAGTGGCTTTGTGAGAATGTCTGCTGTTTGGTGAGCTGATGGTATGAATGACACATTGACTTGTTTAGTGGATATAGACTCACGAACAAAATGATGTCTAATATCAATATGTTTTGTGCGGGCGTGATGAATGTTGTTTTTTGTTAATTTAATGGCACTTTGATTATCACAATTAATGGTGATGGGTGACGAAAAGCAAAAGATGTCGCTTAGTAATGAGCGAATGTAGATGGCTTCCTTACAGGCTTCACTTAGAGCCATGTACTCAGCTTCTGTTGTTGATGTTGCAACGGTTCTCTGTTTACGTGATTCCCATGACACTGCTGAACCACACATTTGGAAAACATATCCTGTATAGGATCGTCTGTCCACCAGATTACCACCATAATCGGCATCAGCAAATCCGATTAGATCACCACTATTGTTATAGGTCAGTTTCCTATTTTTTATAGCCTTCAGGTACCGAAGAACAGGTTTCACAGCTCTCCAATGTACCGAGATAAAAACTTTTTCTATACAAACACTACAAATATGTTTGCCGAAGTTACTTTTGTAGGGCAAAATGTTTTTAATTATCAATTCTGAAGATGGATCAAGGTATTTTATTTCACTCAGCAATTGGGGGTACCTAATTGCACCTCTTAAGATTTTAAATAATATAAATTGTTTCACATCTATCATTAAACGCTAACTATCGATCATGAAAAAGTAGAAATTTGCAACTTTTTAGAAATCGTTAATTTTGACAGATGAAACGTTCGGATTTAGTAACATTTCAGTAGCGTTTCGATCCAACGAAGTGTCAAAATTTTAGTGGAATAAGGGCCGACGGGCCGACGATCGACTCAAGTATATGGACGTAGTTATGCAAACCAGCCACATGATGTCAGTTTTGAGAAAAATGGGTTTCTTGTTTTTACTTATAATTTATTGTAGAATATATTTTATTTTATTTATTTATCAAGAAGTTTTGTGAATTTACAACATGTGAGTTTAATTGCAACACTTTTAGGCTTCTCTGCACATAACTCGATTTTGACAGATTTGTGGGTTGGTTCCGGTTTGCATAACTACATCTATATAGTTCTATGTTCGATTGAGCGAGTAGAATACCGTTTACAGTTTCTGTCGATCGATAGTTAACTAAACTAAAATAGAACCGGAACTGTATCGTTTGACGCCATTTTGACACCGAGTAGAATAGGAAAACCACTAAAAGTTGTAGTTTCGTTCGGTTTCGTTCCGTTTTCGATTCGATTTAAACAAAATTTATTTAGTAGAATTGGCCCCCTGAGCCCCTGCGGTGGGGACGTAAAAAGGGCTGGTGAATTAGTTTTTGCACAAATGCAAAAAAAATAATAATAAACACATAACATCTTTCAACATAAACAAATATATATCTAATATATATTCAAAAATAATATAATGATATATAAATACATAAGTTTTTATGCATTATATATGCCTTTTATATTATAACGTCAGATTGTTTGTGTGGTTCATGCGCTAGTCTTTTGAACACATTTGTTTTGTGAATTCATTTATGAATGTACTTCTAAAATATTTCTACCGAAAATAACGATGTTTATTATATTTGATTAATTTTGCATTCACAATGCTATACTGAAATATTCTTAATGAAAACTGCTTAAAACTATGATATGAGTAGTTTCGAAGATAAAGAGAGGATTGGCGATGGTAAAGTTTTATCTATTTTCTGATATAACTTCAAAACTATTTAAGTGAAATTATAAAATTTATATTAATAATTTTTGAGCTATTCTCAGACAATAATGTTGATAAAATTAATGAAAAAACATTTTTGCATGCCATACTTTGGTGAAATATGTGTGTCTCTTATTGTAACAAACCAGATATAATGTTTTCATGTTTCTTGCAAATAAATTTATTCTATTCTATTCTATTCTAAAAAGTGCGGCACTGCGGTCTTGTTTTGTTGCATACTTCTCATTAGCGCCTGCGCTAAAATATAAAAACGCCTTTCCACGCTTTTCTACATAACTGCCGCTATCTAAAGCAGAAACAAGGTGATGAGATGACAGTATTAAAATATCTTAAAATCAGGAGTTGGTAGGTACACCCCTGAATTTAACTCACTTAACTTATTTTCATAATTTTATTTAGTTTATAAATAATTACACAATAACATAAAATAAAACCTAAACAAATTATTATGATTTTTTACTAGTTTTCAGTTGTTTGTAATTGAATAAAATACCTACATTGAATTTTAAATATTGAAATTTGTATGGAGATTCTTAATATACGCACAATTGAAATAAAATCTAATGAAGTGCAATGAGGTCCGATGAATTATAATGAAGTCCGACGAAGTGTAATCAAGTTCAATAAAGTATAATGAAGCACGATGACATTCAATGAAGTCTGATGTAGTTAAATTAACAATTGAAGTCGATCGAAGTTGAATGAGATATGACTAAATTTCATTAAATAGTAGATTGGAAACTTTTAAAATTGCTTTTTATCGCGGAAAAGAGAGTTGAAATAAGAGATAAAAGTTTTTTTATTGAAGTTGATAATTGTCACATATAAGATTGTAGAAGTATAAATAAAGTCAACAACAGATAACATATAATTTAAATGATGTTTTAGGCTTTTACTTTTATTTATAATTTAATTTTCTAAACTAAATGATTAATAAAAAAGTCGAGATTATTTTAAGAAAATCAATTATTTGTTAATCAATTTGAGTAATCGAAAAATAATTAGTTACTCAAAAAACATAATAATTAAAAATGTCATATATTTAGTCACGTACATTCACGTCACGACAAGGACGATAAAAATTCTCATAGTTGTTATGGTTACCTATTGAAACGCATAAAGTTTTTCGTCATAAGCCATTATAACATAACTACATGACGCATAACATCATATGGCTGAAACCTGTAAGGCATACTAATAGAAAAGCACAATTTTGATAGGCATTAGTAATGAAATGTATATTTTTGTTGGCCATAATATTCAGAAGATATAATTAACTTAAAGAATAACAGTAATTTGCCATAATTAAAATAAGCACAAATTTCTTTGCATAAAAAATTGATTTTTTATAATTGATTAATATAATTTTATCTACTATATTATTGCAAAGAACATGCATGCATGCAGGCAAACAAGCAGCATGTGTGCAAGTAAGCGGCAAGCATGCAGCAAGTATGCAAGCAGGCATGTCATGCACACAAGCAGGCATGCAGTGTGCAATAGGTTCTGTTCTTCTCCGGTGCTGTGAGAAGTGCAGCCCTTTCGCCCTTACGTTACGAGTGTCATATGCCCAAGCAAGTTTCCGCAGCTTTGGCTTCGGCCTCAGAGGGCGAGGGCTGCTCTCCCTCCGTGCCTCCAGTTCTTAAATTACTCTCTAGTATTGGACAGACTAATACCACGGCGAAGGACCACGGCCACGTTTAATATAGTTAATTTCGTGTTAATATCGATTTTTTTAATTTTACTTCGAAATTTGTACACAATTTTAGCATTAAAAATACTTTATTATGTTGAAAAAAAAAAGATCGTAGGTATAAGTAAATATGCATAGTAAAAATAATAATATATATGTTTTTAAAAAAGTATGACTTTACTGAGTTATGCTTTATAAAAATATGGTCATTTAAGTATAATTTAAATCTGCGTTTCAAAGTATGCTTTATAAAAATATGACAAATGAAAATATAGATTTAGATGATTATGGGTTTTATTATGTGTAATTATCAGTTTGGCAAACTACTATGCTTTTTGAAGTGTATGCCAATTGGAATTATGACAATAAAAATTATTCGTTTCAAAGTGTAACCAGTTGTTACTTAATTTCATCATTCATTTTGTTACTAAATTTAAATAGTCGATATTTATTTAAAGTTACATAACGATATAATTTATCATATAAATATATTTGAAAAATGTGCATGTTCTTATTCATGACCCAGGTTATTCAGAATATTTTGCATGTTATTATTAATCCTCATTTTGTCCGTGGTACAATAAATGCGTTATAATAATTTATTAGTATATATTTTTTTAATTTTTGTTGGCATTGGAGGCACTGATTTATCGACACTACTTACTGTAAGTCACAGTCACATAAGGTAAACGCAGGTATTACCGTGGTAATCGAAAACCTGCCGGTATCGTCGAGGTTTGTGATAAAATTATAGTTTTTGGCAATTGCAGACATATTTTACTCAAAAGTTAAACTTTTATGAAAGATCAATTTATATTCGTTTGAATGGATCCATGGCACACTATGTACAAAAAATCTTAAAACCAAAAACAAAAGATTAGTTTGCGTCGAATTGGCGCCAAAGCACGAAGCTCTCACCGAGTGTTATTGCTTGGTAATAACTTCACGATAGAATTGTAATACCGATTGATAATAGCATATATTTTGAGTTTAGGGTTCTGTAGAAATAAATAAGTACCTCATATGGTCATCTATATGGTCATCTCTCATCTATACCCACCTATTTTTCTAACTCGGGATTTGATTTTTACGTCACAATCGTACTATCATTGCAAATAATTTTTATCTGCAGTGGTAATACTGTACGATTGCCACACATTTGCCAAACATTTAAGGCTACCACTTGCTTTTAATACAAATATAAGTTTATTTTTTATTTTTTGTTCCCATAGATTAGAAAAATTGTTGGAGAGCAAGTACCTATTTTACAGCTCTGGGAATGAATAAATCTATAATTTAGGTATATTTTGCTAAATGTCTACATGTACGGTCAGCAACAGGTCAACGTATGCCATTTAATGCCACGAGGTTATACGAGTACGTACAGTCCGTTCTGTGTGATTTTTACCCAAATATCTTCTGATAATGTCTTCAAAAATAGTGCAGCGTAGTGGAGCTTCATTATGCAGCGTCTACTCGTATTGTTGATATTTTGATCTAGTAAGCCATTGACTTAATACACTTTGATATAGTAAGCAGTCGACTTACTAAACTGTTGGCATTTTGAAGTGTTGAGATTTTGAACTACTGATCTTATGGTGTTGATCTTTTAATTTTTAATATTATGATTTTTGACTTTATGAATGACACCCATTATCCACGGGCCATATCTATATGCGCCGTTATCTTAAATTGTCATCACTGTAGGTAGAATAAAGAACTGATGATGAAAATATGGACTAATTCATCATCTAACCATCTGAAAGAAATATTTTCACAACATATTTGCCTTTCATTAAGATGAAAATGCGTTCATATTTTTATTTATTTTTTGTTTAATCGATTTTCCCTATTCTTCTGACACAGAGAAAGTTCATCTAAAATACCACCAGAATAACAGGATTTGTTAAATTCAAACAAAAAAATCCAAACAAAAAATTTATTACAATTATAAAATCAAATAAAAATCGTAAATAGAAATGACGCAGGCATCTTGAAATACGTAACTAACATTATTTTCATATATGAAATTCTTTCTACCTTTTGCGGCAGCATCGGTGACCGCAGAACTTACATCCGAGCGTATTGCATTCGCTCTGTGACGAAAGCCTGCTGAATATCGTGGACACTGATAGATCTCTCTCAATACGCGCTTTACGCCTCGACGACCTCCTCAATACCTGGCGTCTTGTTGGCGATTTACGTCTCTTGTTCACTCTACCGGGCTTGCGACCACGCTTCTTTCTCTCAAGAGTCTTGGCTTCCCTCTTAGCGATCGGTTGTTTCGGTACCTCAGGTCTTGCGTCCACTAATCCTATTCTACTTCTTGTAGAATAAGAGCCAGACGTATAGGTTTCGCTGTTAGACATCTGATCATCTCGCCTTTCTTCATACTTCCGTCGGTCGTTGAACAGGTCTTGTATTGAAGTTCTCTGGTTTTCTTTTTTACTAGCAGACGGCTGGTTGTCATCCTTTGTAGTTTCTTCGGCCATCGGCACTTTATTCCAGTAGTATCGAACAATTTTGTTTTGTTTTTTTTAAAGTTAAATTACAAATAACCATGAAAGATTCCAAACTATCAAAATGCAGCCGTCAAAAATTGAAGCATTTTCTTTCCTTTTATATGCTTTTTCTACAAATATACTGCCAGTTAACATATTTGTGTCTATGCTTGTATCGTATAGCTCAATATTGTTGATCGAAGCTCAATATAGTCTTTGGTATCTTTTTTGGTGGTTACTCTTTAGCGCCAAGATCATATATTATTAAATTTCTTGTTTAGCGCTTTAATATTTAATATTCTGACGGCAGATAATTTATCCACAAAATAAAAAAATACTTTCGCCTTTTTAAGTTTAAAAATTAAATTTATTTTTTTATATATGACTTTATAATTTATTTTTCTGTAATAGGATTATTTATAATATGGCATTCCGTCAGTTAGTTCGCCCGTCTGACCTTGTATAATACATGGTATAAACCGTCCTCTTGAATCACTTTGTATATTGATGAAAACGGCATTAAAATCCGACGCCCAGAGAGCACCCAGCACCCAGAGAGCGACAACGTCAGAACGAGCGAAAGAGAAGTAAAATTAGGTAAAAGCATTAAAAGATTGAAAATAAAAGATAAAAAAAATCATATCGTCAAATTGGTAATATATATTTTTAGGACATATAATTTTGCTTCGCATGTTTATATTTTCAAGTTTAAGCCATATTTGTTAGTGATTTAACTTATCAGATTTGGGAGAGACGCAAAGGTAGTTAACCTTAGCATATTCTCTTCAAATTTATAGTCGAAATAATCATCATAATAAATATTATGGAGCCGTGACATTTTAGGGTTTCGTACTTTACAAGGAAAAAAGTAACACTTATAGAATCATCATTTTTGACAATTTGTCTGTCATAACAAGAACTATATTGTACTTACGGCTAGTTACACCAACGTCCATTAATAATTTCATTAGTTTAAAGTGACATTACCTTTGCAAATTTGACATTCAATAGAGCTTAAGGTGTCATTAAACCTTAACGGACAACTGACCGTTAGACAAGTAAGGAATAGGGTATTTGTCACTTTTCTGAAAACTATTTTAAATCGTTGTTTGCTACATCATAAGCACACTGTCATTATATTTCATAGGAATCTTTTCTATTTTTGGTAAAAATAATTGTTAAAATTTAAATAGTCAAAATCGCGCGAAAAACGCTGCTCCATGTAATGGCGCTGATCGTGACGTCACAGGCTAGTAAATATGTCAAATCAATAAGTCACAACTGTCTTAAGTGGTGCGTAGTGCCACAATGTACTAATACTTCTATAAATAACAAATAAACTTCAAGTCTAGAGGAAAATAGATTAACAATCACAATAGATTAGTAGCTATATAGAGTAGAGATGGGTGATAAAATTTTTTTTTTTTTTTTTTTTTTGGCTCCACCCGACTTGGGTATTAGCCATGTCAGATATAAAAAGGTAGGGAAACAATTAGGAAAGGAACTCGGATATTTATAGAAGTTAGTATTTGGATAGTGGGAAAGGATAAAGGATAATAAATTATGGTAATATATAAAATATTTATATTTTTATGTTATTTTTAGTTATAAAACATGCTAAGGTGTGATAAATATTTGTATCGTTAGTACATAAAAGAAATAATATGGAGGTAGGAAGAGGGATGCGGAGAGATAATAAGGAGTCATAAAAGGAGGAATGATCATATAAAGGACAAGAGAAAAATATATGATCGATGTCTCCCACTTCGGTGCCACACTCACACAAATCGTTTTGAAGAATTTGCATTTTTTTTAAATGAGAAGGGGTACAGGTATGACCCAGCCTCATTCTGGTTATTATTGAAGTAGGAACTTTACCCAATTTAATTTTATTAAACCATGGTTTTAACGAGATATTAGGCTGAATATGCTTATAAAATCTTCCTTTATTTACACTGCTTAATTGCCAATTTTCCTGCCACGATAATTCAAGAGATACTTTAGCCTGAGCAATTAAATCATGACAATAGTTTTTATATGGAAACAGATCTCCAGAATTAATCGCATCTTTCGCTAGTAGATCGGATTTTTCGTTACCTGGAATATTACAATGACCGGGGACCCAAACAAAAGTTACATCAAAACCTTTAGAGCAACATTTCAGTAGTAAAGAGCGACAGTCTGCAATAATTTGATAGCATACATTGCTTTTGAACGGATATTTATGTAAAGTTTCAAGAGCACTTTTAGAATCCGAAATTATCAAAGCTTTTTTTAAATTCATAACTAAAATATATTCAAGTGATTTATATAAGCCATAACATTCACCAGTAAAAACGGATGTCTCTGGTGGCAATTTCACTTTTTGCACAATGTTGTACTGGTGATGATAAACTCCAACACCAACGTTACTTGTTGAAGACAATTTTGAAGCATCAGAGTACAAATGATGATAATCGTTCCATGTTTCAAGTAACATGAAGTTAAAATTATACTTTGAAATTAAATTATTCTTTTGAAAATCTAAATTAAAATTAACTATGGGAACCTGGATTAACGCTTCAAAGTTTTGGGTAAAAATCGGAAGGAATGCTGATCTGTGGGTTGGAGATTGAAAAGAACAAAACTTTCGAAAACTTAAAACTGGACATGGTAGTTGTTTATGAGACCAGTATGAGGATGATTGTATAAGTTTTGAGAGCCGAGATAATTTATCATAGAGGGGATGATTAATAATTTGGAAAGCTTTAAAGAGGTATCTGTCACAAAGAAATTGACGGCGTAGTTTCAAAGGAGGATCAGCACACTCTACTTGTAAAGCATTAATAGGACTAGATTTCATGGCACCAGTGACAATACGAAGGGCCTTAGGTTGTATAATATCAAGTTTCTTTAATCCTAGTGCGCTACATGGTTCAAGAAAGTAAGTCCCGTAATCTAAAATGCTCCTAACTAATGAATTATAAAGTAATTTTAGAGAAAATGGTGAAGATCCCCACCAAACTCCTGTCAGACATCTTAGGATATTCAACATTCGTTCACATTTAGCTACAACATAATAACAGTGAGACAGACCTGACATTTTATGATCTAATATTATCCCTAAAAATTTAGTTTCATTACTAGTTGGTAAAATTTCATTGTCATAGTAAACAGAAAAAGGTGGCAAAAGTCGAATTCTAGAGAAAAGAACGACCGTGCTTTTAGATACAGATAAAGTGAAACCATGCTCATCTAACCAATTTTTAAGATGAGATAAAGAGCGCGTTAATGAGAAACTTAATTTTTCAATTGTTTTGCCAGAACAATACAGAAGTAAGTCATCAGCATATTGCAATATGTTAGTATCTCTAGGTATAGCATCTTCCAGGTCGTGAGTGTAGATATTATACAACAAAGGACTTAATACGGATCCTTGGGGAAGACCCTTCCATATTAGTCTTGATTTTAAATTTACGGAATCCTGACAAACTCTAATAGTTCGTTCTGTAAGAATATTAGTTATGAAATTTATAAGAAGTGGGGGTACATTTAAATCAATAAGTTTTTTTTGTAATATGCTTAAAACTACATTGTCATATGCAGCTGAGATATCTAAAAAGGCAGCTAAAAGCGATTCATTGCAAGTAAAAGCTAATCGTATATCAGTGGTAAGGATGCCGATATTGTCCATAGTACTTTTACTTTTCCTAAAACCGAACTGACTTTTACCAAGTAAGCTTTTACTTTCAACGAACCATTCCAGGCGGTTTTTAACGAGATGTTCAGCGATTTTGGTTTAGTACTGATGAAAGAGCTATTGGTCGATAGGAGGAAATGTCTTGCGGATTTTTATTTGGTTTCAGAATGGGAATGACTTCTTGTAGTTTCCAAGTATGTGGAATATTACCGTTTATTACAATGGTATTAATAAGATTTAGAAGATATGCTAAACTATTATCACTCAGGTGTGTAAGAAAGGAGTAAGGAATATTGTCACAGCCTGGAGCAGAGTCTTTGACGTATGATAAAACACCTTGTAACTCAGAAAGACTAAAAGGAGCATCGAGTCCACCTACAACTTTAGGAATTTGAAGAAGAGTGTTATTGCACGGAACAAATGGGGGTGCCAACTTATCCAAAAAATTATCCAATAGTTGCTCCGGAATATTTTTTAAAGTGGGTTCTTTAAATGTTGAACGAAACCTTCGGATGTTCAACCAAACAACTGACGGAGAAGTATTCGGTGAAATGGAAGCACAGAATCTTTTCCACCCTTCCCATTTTTTTTGTTTAAATAATTTCCTCGTACTTTTTATTAAATTACATAAAATATTAAAGTTATTAGATGTGGAGTGCAAAGTATAATTTCTTTCAGCTTCTTTTCTTTTTTTAATAGCAACAGTACACTCTTTGTCCCACCACGGTGGAGGTGGAATGTTTGTATGCCGATTGTTTTTGAGTGGAAATATTTTATTTGCAGTTTCTATTAAAAGTATGGCTAGAGAAGAGGCACAATGGGAATGATTATCTTTATCAATGTTGGGAAGAGAGTGAATGTTCTGTTCAATATTTTTTTTAAAATCATCCCATTTATTTTTGTCTAATTTATATTTCATGCGGGGTGAACGTTCGGGTGGCCTTTTTACAGTATTATTTGGGAAGGAAATAAGAATAGGATAATGATCACTACCGAATGTTGAGTCTAGGGTAGTCCATGTCAAGGAAACGGCAAGACTAGGAGAGACAATTGATAAGTCAGGAGCACTATTTCCTTCATGAGATTGAGTTCTACGTGTAGGTTTACCAGTATTTAATAAACATAAGTTATGTGTATGTAACATATCAAGTATTCTACTGCCATAGTGATTTGAGGAAGAGCTACCCCAAGAAGTATGTTGGGCATTGAAGTCACCCATGAATATAATGGGTTTTGGAAGATTATTTAAAATATTTTCAATTTCATCATATATAAGAGAGGAGGGGTAAGGAATATATACAGAGACAAAACAGATATTATTAATATTTATAGCAATTATAGAAAAGTCAGTATTATGGTTAGGAATGGGAATGTGTTTAAAAAACAAATGATTTTTTATAAATAGGGCCACACCAGAGCCCACTTCATTTCCTAGCCTGTCTTCACGGATACATGCAAAACCAGGAAGTTTAAAGTTAAAACCAGGCCGAAGCCATGTTTCTTGGATAGAGACAACAAAAGGATTAAATCTGTTAATAAGATAAATTAAATCAGATTTTTTGCTATTTACACTTCTACAATTCCACTGAATTACTGTGTCCATTATGAAGATTTGAAACTATGTCTTGACTATCAAAAAAAGCAGCATTGGGCGGTAGAGAAATTAGTTTATTCTTAGACAAGGACTGAATAAGAGCAATTATTAAATCTTTAATTGGGAGATCCAAAAGAGGAGAATCATTATTGTTCACAAAAGCACTACCATTGGGTGATGAAGGAATATTAAACTCATTAATGATTGCAGCATGAGTTGCATGGTCATAACCTTTTGAAGGAGAATAAGGTTGTTT